TGGAATGCGATAAACTACTAATATAAGATTCGCATAACATTTCTGCAAGTCTCCTAATGATTCTTCGCATCCCAGTTCATTGATGCACCTTCACATAGAGATCTGACTTTTTTCCGGAGAAACTCACTGCACTCAGTGTGTTCCTGAAGAATGTCAGGTTATCTTTTTTGCCTCTTTTCGGGTCGACATTCCATGTAAAAGAAGAACGCCGATAAAAGCTAAGTTTAAAATGATTATTTAAAAAAACAGTGTGCTGATTCTTTTGGTGTGCGTCGCGGTCATCGTGTTATAACTTTATCATAGAATCAGCCAGTATATCTGATACATCGTAATTTTCGAACACGTTGCAATTTACCACATAATGTAGTTATTATTAATATTAGCATTTGTTTGTCGGAATTGAAATGATTTTTTAATGCTGGAACAATAAAATCTATTAATCTAAGATGCATCTCATTTACCTTAATTTTGCCTTCTGTTGTCTGGGAAACGAGTACAGAAATGATTCAGATATTACTATGATATCATATTTTCACTAAAACTATTAAATATATAGAGCGTGCGTGAGCATTCCTGTCTGATAGATATGACTTCGCGAAGTGCTTTTATCGGATTTATTCACTGCATGAACCCCAGACTAGTCTCAGTCAAATAATCTAAAATTTAAGCAGACATTTTTACCTCCGTGATCGAACTTTATTTTGTACGGTACTAATCTGCCAAAATACGTAACACCAACAATAGATATCTCATGCGTATCTGTTATGTCATCTGTGATCCTGAGAACAACGACAATGTGCGTCGTCTTCGTGTCAGTTCCTCCCAGTCCGTATAGCTGCACTTAACCTGCGCACTTAAATAACAAGATGGCGCAGTGGCGTTCAATTTCATATATTTCCAGGGTTCGTTACTATACGTACAGCACGCCAACGTGATCTTAAGTCTTAAGTAAATGTGTGTTGCCGCGTGATTTAATGAAAAGTTTGTTAATTTTCCTGGTGTCCATATATGAGTGAGGCACCCATGGAAATATTCCCCTGGGTGAATGCATGAACTTGAAGTTCTTCTTTTCTTTCTTTTTTTCAATGATACATCCATCGGTTTCGTGTGCTTTCAAGGCAGTATTCTTATTTTAGTCCAGTCGTATTTTATGTAAACGTTGATAATTCTAAAATATGAGCTTTCACATCAATCGAAGATGTGTTACTCGGGCACCAAGCGTGTTGTTTGAGTGTCGCCAACTTGAGAACTTCACAGGTCATGTCACCGTGACAACGACACTACCGTGCGTACATGTTCATTGTCTAACTTGTTACCAATTACCCTATACGTATCGATTTTTTGTCGATATCAGTCACGGTCATCTGCAATTTTATCAGGTGTACAAGTGGGCTTTTACGGCTACTGATTGTGAACTACCACTTCATTGTTGACCGATATGGGCGAGTCATCTATATATCACTCCTTTACGTGAGATGCCATTAACTGAAGTTCAGTCGTGACGTCCGTTATGATTCAGATAACGGAAAACCATTCTAAACTTCTTGTTCGTCGGGATGGTCATGTTCGTGCACATTTTCAATAATGTCTCATTCTGGCCCAACGCAAAAACAATATATATATTTAAAATGTAGTCGCTTTGAGCATCATGGAGCTCCTTTTTATCCCGAGATCGTGGCTTGAGCTTAAATTTAGGATTGTAAATGAGTTTAACTAAAAAATGCCGATATGGGGGTTTCTACCATTCTCAGATTTAGTTAGCAGATCAAAAAAAAATGAACTTTTGTGCGTGGAGGGGGATATTAAATCGACGTAAAAGTCTGTACAACGTCCATGGCACATAACATATTTATTAGATGCAAAATTAAGTGTTCATGGCTGTTTCATAAACCACATATGTTTTGAAGATTATTGTATAGGGATTTCTCGTTATTTCACAAATATCTTACTCAGCTGTTGAAACATCTTACTGACACTCACCAGAAATATTCACACGTGTTTTGTATTTTTAGTAGCCTTGGTAATAAACTCTTCTTATCAAAAACACCTCATTAAAATATTGAATCTGGGCAATCATGGAGGTATATTGGCTAGGCTGGCTATAATGAATGTTTGTGCATCACAGTGGGGTACTGTTTGAAGTCATTTAAATTGCCATTGTTAAAGTTGATATGCACGAACTGTTGATGCCCATTCTTTATAAAATTCTGACCGTTGCCTAGAAACCTTATCAGTAAGCATTTTGATTTAATTTTGTTTTGTTTGTAAGTTTCACAAAATAATGATTGTTACAATAGATCACAAATGTAAAAAAAAAATTATATTTTAGTAACCTGTGTTTATCCTGCAACAGTTCACTTAGTGGTGGACTATTTGAATGCAATACCATGCTGATTTCCCTCTGTTCATTCCCAGCCTGAGCCCCAAATCCCAATGCATTATGGGATACCAGGATTAAAGTCGTACCATCGTTGCGAAGGACGCAACATAGACCGTAAACTTATCAGAGACTGTAATCCTCTCGTGATTCGTGTTTACTAAATGTGTTTATTTATTGATCATATGGTCTATCTTTTTAGCTCTACGAATTTACCAAACAACCTTTCTTTTTGTCTTAAGTTGTACTAACTATTCCACAAAACCGTTGTGATGAAGACTGCGATTGCCAATAACTAAATACTTTGCGTAAACAATGGTTTATTACTATACACTGTCCGTGACAGCAACTTATGCATTATAAAATAAACCCTTTTAGTGTCTATGTTTATACTTATGTTTTGCATTCGGCAAGATAAATAACAGATGTCTGTTCCAACATCGTTATTTTGATTTGAGCACGTTTTACAATAAAGACGAAAAAGAAGGTAGGTAACTATTAATACTTTCCTAAACTGCCGTGCACGATAAAATAGTAATATAATACAGAACTGATGCGACACACTATTAGTGGATGGGTAGGGAAATACAATTCAAAGAGAAAGGTTTAAAGAAATATATAGAGAAGCAATAATCGACAGGGGAAAAACAGACTTAGAATTTCAAAATCTGTACAGGAGGAAGCAAAATAACGTATTACACAGTGGATGGTAAATACCAACCGATTCACCTCATCAGAAACAATGGTTTAACCCTCGCTGTTGATCATGTCAATGGTACACTGGAAGACTTATATGTATATCTGACGTCCATGCTTTTTACGCATTCTCATTAAAATCTAAGTATGAACCGTAACGTTTTAACGCCTGGCATAAACGAATGCATGGCACATAGAAACGTGTTAACAAGTGGATACAAGTGGAGGAATTGCTAATTCTCGTATTAATTAAATATGCAACTACTCAACACACGTTGACATCGTTGTCGGTGGTGGTCATGGTAGTCGGTGATGCAAAATAACGCGGTTTGCATCTAAAATTGAAATTGGTATTGGTGCGTAATCTGAACTTGTATGTTGATGTACATCATCATCATTGCCTGAGAGTCGACTTACATATTAAGCACAGTCCCCTTTTTAACTCCATGAATAAAAATTATAGCTTCGTTAATTTTAACTGAATCGAGTCTCGATCTTATGAATTAAATTTAATATTGGCGAGTATTATACCCAGAGTATACACAAAGAGCTGAATATATTGCTTGGTGTCGAGAGCGAAATTTGTGTAAATGCCATCGTCTTCAGTATTTGAGGTGCCGTAACTAAGGATATTTGATGCGGTCACAAAACTGTCAACAACTGGGTTCACCTCGATCATCGAAAACGATAAGTGTCGTAAAATGGACCTTGTCATTAACGTGCCCTCGAACATTTTTTACGACAGCACGAGGTTAGAAGTTGCTATCGGCGCCTTGGTGGACATTCCTTAACTCACCCTCTAAATCTCAGCACCCACTGATAATTGTTTTTAACTGACAATGTCCGTCCACTTATCATGTTTGTTGCGATTTTGCGGTGTTATGTGCTCGACTGTGAACCCAACATCTATCTGAATCTGCTGCCGCAGTTTTATAGTTTCCAAAGACTCTTTTAGTATTTGGTCAACAGTATGATATGCCGCGTTGTTTCTGATATATGTATCGCCACCGTTGACATAGTATTCGTGTCCATGTATAGTTCTAATTACACATTCACTTGTCGTTTATTTTTAGCCGTGTCTCGGGCTGCCACGTTTTGCTGTGCGTGTACAGAAGTTGTCTTAATCTCACGCCTTCGCCAGGCTTGCATTTTTTGTTTCGACTCTCAGAAAAGAAAAAAAGCGCGTCTACATCTTTGTTTCATTTAATAATTTCGTTCATTGGTGGTGAAGATTCACTGAGTTCACCGAGAAGAGAAATCATATTTACTGAAAATGACGCCAATACGATGAAGGGCGAATTTAAGAAGATTATATTGGAGTTAAATTGTTTGCAAAAAAAGGGCGCTGATAAAGAAACAATAAGATATCGATGGTGTGATATATTCGGCGTTACACCCAGCAGTGTAACTTAATATAAATTAATATTTACATGCGGTAGCAACAATTGATTAACGCCCCCCTATGACTACCTAATCTTTTACCACTCCTGCTGCATTTCACTTCATCAACGGGTGATCAGTCGATAGATTATTGGTTTACACACACTCCCGCCCACTATCTTCGACGACCAACCCCCTGTCTCATTGAACTCGTCGCCAGTTACGCTACGAACACTGACATATGCACAAGTTCAAATTTGGCACCCAGCTGACTGAGTCAGACCCTTCCGAGTGGCGATATCTCCGAACTTCGCTTTGTGGTTTGCTAGATTTGACCACAACATCGGCAACTGTCATACCGACCCTCACTCGGCAACGTTCCTTTTATAGCTTGCTAGGATATAGCTGCGAGTATATGGTTATATATCCGTGAGTAAATTTGGCTCAGTAGACCCGTGATCGTCTACCAAATACAGGTGTGTAGTGTGCAATCGGTTGAAATAGTGGTCTTTCTCTGTTTACAAGCCCCATGAAACACTCATCAATAATGGAGCATGGCTACACTCTGTCTGCGGGCCGTATATTTCGGCCGACAATTGTCTACCAGTGTCCGGATGTACACGTAGAGCAGGCTCCAAGCACCGCGCTTGGTTCAGCTCACAGTATGTATCTCTGTCCAAGCCTCCATAGTACGATGGAGAATTCCGTCGTGTCGAGCTGGTGGTCCAGGACACCGCCTGGATTAGTCAATACGCGATCGGACTACTATGACCCCCCGTCTTACATTGCCTGTAACAACCCCATGTGTCTTCCCAGGTGGGTTACGCCAGAGTTTTCTAAAACGGACTTCTCCAGCCGTCCAAGGCTGTTTGCCACTGCGCCATCATTACCAGTTACGAAGCCTGTCTCAAAAGAATTCTCGTTGCTCCGTCCCGATGTCATTTTGTCGGGAAACTGTGAACCCATAAACACTGGGTCCAAGTCAGATACACTGACCAGGCTCAAGGAATTTGTCAACATTTCCCATGGCGGCGTTGATCCAGTCTCCATCACCGAAGTCGCCGCTGGTGGAACTTTGGAAGAGAACACGAGATCGAGAGATGAAAAGAAGATGGAAGAAAAGAGAAGGCGTTTCCCGTGTCCAATTTGCGACGTGTCGTGTTCCAATAATGGTCAACTTCGTGGCCACATACGAGTTCACACAGGTAAGGGTTGGCATGTTTAGTGTTTGGTTGTTATCGATAGTCGGTCGTGGCAAATTTAAGCTAGATGCATTTTGACATCACACGTTCACATGCCATGACCACCTGTTGCGGTGCAAAAAGTCACAGTGAGGCGACTATATAATTTTTGAAACAAAATACCAATACCTGGGTAAGAAAGATGGAAAAAAACAGTGTCTGTGAAATAATAACATGTTTCTCAACTTATTGTGCGTTGCTTAATTGCACAGGAAACACCATAGTTATTAAAAGGGGGCAATCCGGCGTTGCCAAACGCGGCTGTTCTGCGATAGGGCTTGACTGAATACAAAATAACAGTTCTCTTCATTATTCCATGGGCAGTGTCAGACAAAAATGAAGAACACGTATGAATCTATACAAGTTCTTTGTTCAACAAAAAAACGCTCGACTCCTAGGACTGGGTACGACCACTTTATGCTGTGTTGCACGATTTTAATTCGCCATCAATCATCGGGGAAAAGTCTATCACTTCAGAAAAGGTTACCATTGTCGCTAACTACACTCTGCTATTTCATGTCAGAAAAAATAAATAACTCGTGCCGCCCGATTAATTAAATTGGCACTACAGTGCATAGAATCGCACCTGGCGGAACAAGTAGTTTCTGTTTTGTTTATGTTTTAAAAAATATTCGTAATAAAGCGCGATTTCATAATATATTCGGTTCAATATACACACATATATATATGGTTGGAAGCCATGTAAATTAAGTTCTGTTTACTCTTTATATATACAACTATATTTATTTTAGCATACCGTAACTTAGAGTCCATATTTGTGACCATCTAGTATATAAAAGACGAATCAGAACGACGGGCCTCCACATCGGCGCTACGGAGTTTCTTAAACTATATATAGTGGGATTTCTGCTTGTGTAAACTGGCGACAACGAGCATCTTTGCTAGCTTTGTACTGTACCACTGCCCGGTGACATAAGATAAATTGACGAAACCAGTCTCGTATGTCAATGTCAACTGCACAAATGAATATCGTCACATTCCTGACGTTGATTTGGTTGTTAGTGACGAATCTGTTGCGCTTGCGTGTTTTCTAGCGTCTCTACATTAGCAATAATGATTATATACGACACTAACATCGATATTATGGTATAGTAGTTGCGTTTGTGTTGTCTTCTCGGGTAGCGTGGAGGAAAGGCATAACAATCAAGCTTTAAGAGTGGGACACACTTAGTGAAATAGTTGCGTTTGTGATGTTCGAATCCCGTACATGTGGTGATATCGACTCGGCCTGTGGAGTGTTCCGTGGACGCCATATCCCGGAGTACCTTTATATGTATTTGCTACGTCGGTTCAAAATTTATGCTTACGCTTTGAAAACAGACTTGTTTAAATGTTCATGTATTTGCTTTTATTTTGACGTCTATTGGTGTGAATGCCATGAATAAACATGCCCCAAATCATGTTGTTCAGGTTTTAGATGTGTTGACCCTTCAACTTCGAGAAGTGCTACAGTACTCAGCGTGTGTTTCCATGGTAATTGGAAAGTAGTAACGGGGTTTTGAGGGTGTAGACGGGCGCGTGAAATTGAATTGAAAAGTGTCTTTTGGCACAAGTATACTAAACTTTTTAATCACTGTGTTTGCTCCCCCAATAAAATCCGTTGAATTTCCATATGTTACAATGTGGCCAACCCCGTTGCGTAGCAACTGCTCATTGTCATCATTCTTTCTCTTCCAGGCGAGCGTCCATTCAAGTGCGACAACCCGTGTTGTGGTCGCGCCTTCGCTAGAAACGAAGAACTGACTCGACATAAAAGAATCCACACCGGCCTCAGGCCGCACCGTTGTACCATCTGTAACAAACGATTCGGCAGGAAAGACCACCTGACCAAACACATCAAAACTCACCTCAAACCCGCCGAAAAGAAAACATACGTGTGCGAAATGTTCGGATGTGGCCAAAAGTATAGTCGGTCAGATGCACTGGCAAGGCACCAGTGGACGGCTCATTCCGTGAAACCAAAATCAAACTGTAGAAAAAACACGACGCCGCAGCAGTAAAATTCGTTTTGATTAAATAAGAAATAAGACTCGTTTGTATGTGGTAACAAGGAGGGGTGGGGTGACTTAGCGCCACTTACATCGAGATTTGTTTTACTTAACTGTTTATTCAGAAACTGCATTCTATGCAAACCTACCTCAACAATAATGTTGTATTTTTACAACTTCATTCTTAAAGCGCGGTGGTCGTCGCGCAGCGCGTGTTCGAATTTCATGTAAATAAACAATGTATTTTACACGCGTTGTATACGTCGTTGCGAGTTCCATATCGAACAGGACGCGGCGCGGCGACTGCCGCCCTTTAATTTACGTCTCTCCTCGCGAACAGAGTCGCAAGTTCTCGATACATTGCTTAGTACGGCTAAATCAAGTTTCATTGGTTTATATTTAATCTTACTTTTGATCGCCTTATCTTAACAGTTATCGCATTTTTACATGTGCAGTTCCCTCCCCACTTCCAAACTCGCTTAAATATAATATTGTATCTTAATATTTATCTAGAACTGAACTGAAAGGTGACTTGTCTGTGCTTTGTCACAACCACTTCAATGTCTTTGCGGATATTGCTGTGTATTTTGGCACGCCACTCTCTACCATGCTCCCGTCCAGTTGACTTCCGTACGCATGTGTATACGTCATGACTCGTATTACAGATTGACAATCCACCAGGTGTTTTACGAGACATTTACACAATGTGTTCGCAACAAAACCAGTATATTTAGGTGTTGTGCTCAATATATTACACATTTGCGAAATACCTAGAAATAAACAATTTTTTTTTTTTCACAATATTACTGTTTATCTTTATTTTAGCTGTTATCCATGCCAAACTTGATGAAAAACAGACGTAGAGGGTCTGATTTTTTTTTACATATGAAGTTAGTTTATGGTTCCTGGTGTACAAACGACAAATTCTGCCTTTAAATAAAAGAATCTAAACAAAATAACAACAAAATATCAATAAAATATCAATAAATTAATTAATTAATTAATTAAATAAATAAATAAATAAATAAATAAATAAATAAATAAATAAATAAATAAATAAATAAATAAATAAATAAATAAATAAATAAATAAATAAATAAATAAA